ATTTGATTTGAAAATTGATATTTGAATTTGATTTGAAATCAAATATTTGAATCAAATCAAATCAAATCAAATCAAATCAAATGCAGAACCCTAATCATAACACATGAAAAAAATAACAAGACAGATGGCAATTCATGATCATAAGAGTTTGCTGAATAAAGTGCTTTATTGGTCTACTAGTTCCTTAATGTGTATAAAAGACTCATTTTACTTACCCAAAGTTAGCCTTATTATCTATATACTGTTGAAGTTAGATTAGCATCATTTTCATATAATTTTATTAGCTCTTCTATTCAACGATTAGTCCTATAGCTCTAATGAAACCTTCTATAGAGCTTTTTTTATTTTATTATGATTAGTTTTTGTTTTTTAAAAAGTATTCTAAACTGTATAAATAATGTAAAATTAAATTGATTTTATTAGCCAATCAGATAAACTTTTGTATATGAACTCATATGGGATCTTTGCTAGAAAAATCACCCTTTGATATTTTCTAATCGGACTAATTCAAACAAATTCAAACTAATATACCAGTATTTAAATAATTTTTGCTAAATACTCATTCGATAAACTATTAAATCAATAAGGCCAAAAATAATTTATATGTAAACTAGGCTTTTAGAAAAATATATATGTTTAATATATTTGGTTCTTATTATTTTTATTATAATGGTAAAGTTAATTTTACAAATATAATTTTATTGGCTAATATCACATGTTTGCTTATAGATCTACCAATCATTAGAAAGTTAGCCTATAAAAAATATAGTTAGACACATTACCAAAAATTGGCAATATTAACAAGCTAATTAAATTGTAAATTTGAATAGTAAAACATATTCTTTTTTTGCATATATAGAATCTGTGCTTGGTTTAAAGTCACGTGGTAATGATCACATATATGTACCAGTTGTATACCAGTTTTATACCAGTTTTAGTTTATGAATACTAATATATAATATCTAATTACTGATACATCTAATTACCATTACTGCAAACACATTTTATTTCTATTACAAGTATTATAGAAAATGCATTATATCTGTGTTTGTACTATGTATAATTATCTTTGTATTCGTACTATGCATGTATATACAGTATTGCTATTAATAATCATAAAATCTTTAAACACCATAATCATAAAATCTTGAAACAGTATTTGGGCAGTTTTCAACCAAGGCTTTATTCAAATTATGCGAACATTTTTTTTGCAATCTTTTTAATTATATAGGTATTATAAAGCAAGTTAGGTCTTGATTATCATGCATATTAGTGTCTTGTACTTGTTGTGTTTTCTTTTGTCTCTTACTTTTACGTCTAGTACTTGAGGTGACTTGGACCCTAATTCTTTTATCTCCATGTTTATAGCCACTACAATTTATACACTCTAAATTCTAGTCACATATTTGGAAAAAAAAGGAAATTGCTAGATAGATATAGATATCTCATACTAAATGGTGCTTCTTATAAGCACTAACAAATTTTTATATACTTTTATCAAATGCAGGATTGTTCTTCTTAAAAAGATTCTCTATATCATTATAGAACTATCAGAACTCATTTATAGCCAATTTATAGAAACCTTTATCAGTTTCATTATCACTATTATTACTATATATGCTATTGTCATTTCTACTATCTTCAGTATTACTTTTATTATTAATACTTTCTAATTTACAGATAGTTGAGGATTGCGAAGATATAGAAGGTGAAGATATGAAAGTTGAAGATTTAGAAAGCATATTTTCTTTGTTATTAAAGCTTTGAATATTGTTGTTACAACCTTCACTAATAATATAATTATTCTTTGAGGTTGCAAATTCTGTCGAATATAAAAATTCATTTTGATTAATTGCAAATAAGCATATAATATCTACTATTTACACACATTGTAGATATTTGATTTAAGCTACATATACAATAATAGATTAATATTGAAGATTAGTACTTGCATAGTGCTCCTGTAAGACTACATTCGTACTTTTCAAGTTGCATATCTACAAGATACCATTTATTAGGGTCTTAACTGCTTTGATGTTTAAATATTAATAATTCATAGTTTATAATTTTAATATCATTTTTAGATCCAAGCCTTTAGCCTGAAAGCTGAAATTGAAGTGCAGTAAAATTATTAGACCTATTATGTGCTACAGTAAGTAGTTTGTGAGTATAATAAAGATCTATTATATTAACTATAAAATAGAATATTTGTACAATATTAAATGCCTGTATTCGACCAAATATAATATCTTTTATAATTTGGATTCTATTTTCAGCAAAGTTATTTGTATGATTATTACAGATTAGTAAACCTTAACAAAATGCAATAGCCCATTCTTTGCATCAGTTCCATATGGCTTCAAAGTGTTTTTGAAAATGCAGATATTTCAAGTATACTTGATTAATTATTAATGCTCTATACTCTTTTTCAATTTTAGATTCAGTCTTTGCAAATATAATTGTCTTCAAATATCTAATTATTATTATTTTTTTTTTTAATCTTTGGCAACCTTGCCAGTGATCCTTTATTAAGATTATTATATAAGTAAATTATATAATGTTAAGCTTAATATTTAGGTCTGATATCTCCTGGCTATCTCATAGGTGCTCAGAAGCAGTCTGCTGTACTGGTTTGAAGCAATTCTTTTGAAACCAGAAAGCTAATATCAGGTTAGTTATGCAAACCATACCAAAAAGGCTTGCAGCTATTTTGAATTAAATCTCTAAAATTATTCATCTAATGGTTTTCTATCTTTTTTAAACCC